GGGTGGAGAGGGAGGTGGGAGGGGGGACTGGGATGGGGAATACATGTAAATCCATGGCTAATTCATATCAATGTATAACAAAAACTACTGTAATGATGTAAAGTAATTAGCCTCCAACTAATAAAAATTAAAAAAAAAAAACAAAAAACTGTTGTTTCAACTTTTCAACAATGGTATATCTATCAATATGCTACTGCAAAAAATTAAGTAATTAAAGTCAAGCGGTTTATAATTTGTTGGTATAACTGATTTTTCTCCAAAGGCTTAGGCATCTGAAGTCAAGTACACTTTCCTAGAACTGTAAAGTACCTAAAGTTCTTGTTTCTATGGTAGCTCTTCATTAGTAAATGCTGGAATGTTTAGTAACTGAATAGTATGTAAGCAACACAAGGCAGGAGGATTTAAGTTCTCTTAGATTTGTATAGGGTCTAATGGGGAGCAAATTTTTCCGTTTAAACTACTTTTATTGTTTTTTATTTTGATTTACTTTATCTGAAGTAACAGATATGGAAAAAATATGACTTTTTCATAATACTAAGCTCTATTGTTACAAAGAAAGATGCCACTATCAAAATGACAAAAATTAGAAACAATGTTACAAACAATTTGGCTACAATCTAACTCTACTAGGTCTAGAAGATCATTTCTCAATTTGTGAACTATCAAACCCTTGGAGGTTCCTGAGACGCTTTGCAGGGGACGGTGAGTTCTGATTTAAGGGCTTCCCAGGTGGTACTAGTGGTAAAGAATCCACCTGCCAGTGCAGCAGAAGCAAGAGACCCAGGTTCGATCCCTGAGTTTCGAAGATTCTCTGGAGAAGGAAATGGCAACCCACTCCAGTATTCATGCCTAGAAAATTCCCACAGACAGAAGAGTCTGGCGTGTTATAGTCCATGGGGTGGCAAGGGGTCAGGCATGACTGAGCCCTTGTCAGCATCAGCATTAAAAATTACCACAAATTGTGCAGCTTGAAAACAAAGCAAATTAACAGTGCTATAGATCACAAGCCTTAACACAGGTCTCACCAGATTTAAGTGAAAAGATCAGCATGGCTGTGATTCTTTCTGGGTGGTCTATGAGAAAACCTGTTCCCTTATTAACTCAGGTGGTTAGAAGATTAATTCTTGGCAGTTGTAGGACTGAGGTTTCATTTTCTTGCTGGTTGTCGCCTAAGGAACATTTTCAGTTTTCAAAAATTATGCACATTTCTAGGCCCATGGCTCTCTCAATCTTCAAAGTCAGTGACAGTGAGTTAAATGTCTCTCACAATGCAAATCTCTGTCCCCACATCCTTTCTCTCTTTCACTGTAACTGGGTAAAGTTCCCACTTTTAAGGGATCAGGTGACTATATTGGGTCAAATAAGCAACCTAGAAATATCTCGCAAACATGAGGTCAGTAACTTAATGAAATCTGCAAAGTCCCTGTTATATAAGTCACATGTTCACAGGTTCTGAGTATTAGAATATTTTGATATGGACATGTCCTATGATTCAGTTCAGTTCAGTTCAGCCACTCAGTCATGTCTGATTCTTTACGACCCCATGAACTGCATCATGCCAGGCCTCCCTGTCCATCACCAACTCCCGGAGGCCACCCAAACCCATGTCTATTGTGTCGGTGATGCCATCCAAACATCTCATCCTCTGTTGTCCCCTTCTCCTCCTGTCCTCAATCTTTCCCAGCATCAGGGTCTTTTTAAAAGAGTCAGCTCTTCGCATCAGGTGGCCAGAGTATTGGAGTTTCAACTTCAACATCAATCCTTCCAATGAACACCCAGGACTGGTCTCCTTTAGGATGGACTGGTTGGATCTTCTTGCAGTCCAAGGGACTCTCAAGAGTCTTCTCCAACACCACAGTTCAAAAGCATCAATTCTTCAGCGCTCAGCTTTCTTTACAGTCCAACCATCACATCCATACTGGAAAACCATAGCCTTGACTAGACGGACCTTTGTTGGCAATGTAATATCTCTGCTTTTCAATAGGCTATCTAGGTTGGTCATAACTTTC